ATTTGAAAATAAAAAGCTGAGTGCAAAATGTTTGGCAGTTAAGAACTTGAACTCTCTTTTACTGTAACCCTTTCTGATTAAAGGCCGCTTTTTCCTTACTCTCCTGCGGTAACCAGAACTGAACAGACCACTGGGTGGTTACATAGGCTGAAGCACCGCATGTCTCTGTTATCTCCATCATTTCACACTCACAACAGCCCTATATTAGTTAGCATTCGTTTCAATTAGCAGTGGCTAACGAGGGAGTATAATATGCTGTATTGCTTTTGTGAAAATAGAGACTTTGTGTTAAAGAAACAAGTCATACAGCACATGGACCTTTCTCTGGTATGGATAGCAAATTAATTTGAGAACTATCCTGTGAAATGGATGCAGCTTTTTAAGGAAATCTCTCTTTAGGTTAGGCAGCATTTTGACATTTTATAATTTGCCTTCCTTTATATCTGAAATGGAAAGCTCTGGTTGGTAGATATTTTGTCAATTAAAGGCATTTATAGAATTGCATYGGTACTTTGAGGGAGAATAATAGAGCTGATGTATTTTTCACTATTATRCACACCAGAATATTGAATTTGTTCTCTATGCATGCATTTATGGATTTTAGCAGAGTATAGAAACAGTGGGAATGGTTCTCCTGATAGGTGAAATTCACTCTCTTTCAAAAAGTTTGCACACCCTTTAGGACTTACTGGAAAAAAAATTATTATAAAGGTTTGTTTTTAATTCTGCCTACTATAAACAAAGGCACTTTACAGCAGGATTTGTGAATATTTCCTCTCATTCACTGACTGTAGTCCAAGTACAGAGACTTTATTACAGGTGCACTCCGTGCAAGAAATCCTGATCTCAGTTAACAGTATTAATCTGGGCTTCTGAAATACTTTGGTTAATGCTGACTTGGCCAAGAGAAGATTTTTTTCCTATTGCTGATTATTTAATATTCCATATCACTATTTCCACTACTCTATAACTGATAAGTGGCCTACATGTTTGGAGTTTTCCTTTATCTCTTTTAAAGGCATATAAAATAAATAAATAAATAAATAAATAACATACTAGGTCGCATTTATTTTTTTGTCCGCTATGGAAGTTGTTTAATGTGACATTTCAAGAGACTGAAAATTTTCATTTTTACTGTGGTTGAGCCTAAATATATTTTCAAAGGAAAGAGGATTCTGGGAAGGAGTGGCTGTCATCTCAAAACTGAACAAGTTATGTACTTTCTGAAGCAGTAGTTACTTCAACCAAAAAGCAATGAAAAATTTGAATTCTTGGAGAGTCAGGAAAATAGTCTATGATACTCAGATCACTGCTGTCTCCCCAGTTTGACTTTGGTTTTTAATGCAGCAGGAAGATGTATTTTTGCAGAGAGAAAACCCATGCTAGCATAGGCTGTGAAGAAAACTCGTTGCCYGATAAGGGGAATAAATGGAGCATTTAATTGGATTGCATTAGATTCTTAAATAATGTGTGCCTTTAAAAGCCTCCTCTGTATCACAGAGCTATCATCATTTAGAGATTAAAATTGCTGTCAAAAGTASCATCAAATACTTTACAAGCACAACAATACGGTCCCCCAYATGGGAACAGAAGAGTTGTTTTCCRAAGTGAGGRAACCTTMCATCATATCTTCTTCTTTCTTATTTRTATTAAAGACTTAAATTCAATGTCATTTGAACTTGGCTTTCAATATTGCACCTCTGGCGATCACCCCGTCCAACACCTTGCTGAATGCACAAGGCTGCTCAGGGCTGTGTCCAGTTGGAATTTGGCCATCCTCAAAGACAGAGACTCCAAAACATCTCTGGGCAACATCCCCYAGTATTCATTCAYCTTTACTGTATGATTTTTYTTTKTTKTTGTTTCCAACTMGGATTTCCTGTATTTCAATTTGTGCCCACATTTCTCACTTATCATAKTCTTTGAAAATCTATGTTTTTCTTTTTTTGAGCATTCCTATYGTAATGCTCAACTCATCTGCCTCTCATATTTTCTCTTCTTCCCCTTTTTTCTTTTAAATCTCACATAAGTSCTTAAGTGAATATAAGCTATTCCATTTTTGTGACTTAAGTGAGTAGTATAGAGAATCCTATTGCACACTATATGTGCWATTTTATAATTACCTGAAACCATCTAGAATGTAATCTCTTCAGGCACCTACTTTACACAGGTTGGAAGACAAGTTCATGTATTATGTACTCCTACAGAAATGGATTGTCTTSATTTCAACTGGGAAATAAGCAGCAGTAAGTGAGGCAGAAGCAGAAATCTCATATTCATGCCAATGCAGCTACAGAAGAACATCTGAGAAGARTATTCATTATCCAAGCAACAGACCTTCAAATACAAAATTATTCACGAGCTATCAGCGTGTCTGGAAACACAGCTTTAATAGACACAACCCACCTGCAAAGCTGAAGAACTCCTCTTGTGCAGGATGCATAATCCTGTTTGCACTGAAGCAAAAACCAGCTGAATATCTAGGCTTCAGCAGGGAAGACAATATTCTCTGGAGTTTCACTGGAAATGATGCAGATGGCTTTTCTCTTATTTTTTAAGGTTACATATGAACAGGTATATTACATATCCAAAGCGTAACATTTAGATTAGTACATGTGCCCACCACAGCAGTCTTGCAGTTGTTTTTTTATCGCTTTGAGATTAAATCAGTTTAAAGGTGAATGGTTCCCAAATGCATTCCATAATGGCTAGCTTTAAATATTTTAATTTCCACATTTTCATTATCGACTCCAGTAATAAGGAAGTTTTAAACCCGGCTGTGTGAGGTAACATTACCCATCAGGCTGCAAATCTCAGCTCAACTCTGCAGCCAAAGGCCCACATGCTGCTTGGTGTCTTGACTTTTGGGATCTTTTGGAGTGCTTGCCTGTGCCTGTGTGGGGTTGCTGGCAGTATCCCGCTTGCTGGGATGGAGTTACTCTCTCTAAWAGGCAGTAGGGTGCTGTGTTTTAGATTTGTAACCAAAGCAATGCTGAAACACATGAATGTTTTAGCTCCTGCTGAACAGTGTGTGCGCAGTGCCAAGGTCTTCTCTGCTTCTCACTCATCCCCTGTAAGTTGAACAGAGTGTGTAAGAGCTTGGGAGGGCTCACAGCCTGCAGGTGAACTGAACTAAGTAACCAAAGAGATGTTCCATGCCATGCAGAGCCCTGCTCAGCAGTACAATGGAGAGGAGCGAGGTTCAGGTAAAGTTGGTTATCTTTTCCTTGGGAACTGGCTGTCCACTGGTCTCTGCCCATGGCAGAGACTCTGCCCAGAGGTGGTGAGTGATGGCTATTGCCACACATTTTTTTAGTTTTTTTTTGTTCTTTCCCTCCTCGCTTTATCAAATTAGTTTTACCTTGACCCTTTAGTTCTCTTGCTTTTACTTTTTCTTTCTTTTCTCCCGTTCCACTTGGGTGGGTAGYTGGGGAGTCAGTGCTCTGTGGTGCTTACCTCCCTACTGGGGTTATTTCACAGCACACCGTGTGCCAACCAGGCAACACTGGTGAGATCTGCCCAAAAAGAGTCACTCAGCCCATTTCCCCACCTCAGGGATAACCAAAGAGTTCCCATGTGGTAATATACTACAGGCCAAAGCTGGATGTGGCCAGTGATCTGCGCATAAAGAAGGTCACAAACTCAGTATAACTTCCACATCACTCCATTTAAATAAAAAAAAAATCTAAAAGCACTTGAGTTTGCTTCTCAAAAAAAATTATATATACATCTCAAAATATTATCACTTTAAGAAATCACCCACAGCACTGGGTGTCAAGATGTACGTGCCTGGGAAATGTCATATGCAACTGAAAGGACCATCCTATTATTCCAATAAAAATGTCATGAATATGTTGGTACCAGGACTGAAAGACAGAAAAAAATGTTTTAGAAAAAATGTGCAATAAAAAATATTTACAAAAGCTACACTAGAAAAACACAGTAACTCTTTAACTTTGTACTCACTACTTTGACAAAGAAAACTGACCAAAAGAACAGAAGTTCCCCTTGTATACTTTAAGTACACATGTACTTTAWATACTTAAATATATTTATTGCAAGTTTTAGACAATACATACCTCCTTTACTCCCAAATAACTCGGAGTGACAGAAATATCTTCAAAATAAGGACGTGAGGTGATAATGGCTCCAATGAAGTCACTGGCAAAAGTCCTATGGCATTCAGAAGCACCAGWAAATCACACTTTGCATGGATGCAAAGCTGGTAACCAGGTAGCAAAAAGTGGGAATTTAAGCATTAATCTTCTAGTTTCAGATATTGATTCATCGAGTCTTCCCTTCAGCAAAAACTTCAAAGTAAATCCATATTAAGTGTTTTCTTGAGACGTTGCCATAACAGATATTCAAAGCAGACGTAATGCTGAATTTGGTGATAAACTAAAACCGAAAGGATTTTAAACAAAGGCTGTTGGTGCCTGAAGCAGGGAGATGTGATTCACCTCACACATGGTCAGGGTCATATCTTTGCTAGAAATCTGCTGATGGTTCAAAGATGGAGATTTAAACCTTTCTTCTTAATACAGCATGTCACTCATTACCAAACAAAAAGCTGAACCACGTTCAACCAGGGTGGCAAGAGMAGGGTCTAGGGAACAGAGCAGCTACTAACCAGCTCTCCTACCCACAGCCTAACCACGTGGAGCCACTTCAGTGAAGGCTTGCTTGGCTCCTGTAGCCCTTCCAAGCTGCTCTTCTTCATATCCATTATACATCACATTAATGATGCTCTGTGATTACTTACCAGCATTTCCATCAGCTAGGTGATACCATATTATGCCACAGAGAGATCTGTCCTGCTGATAAATTTTATGTCTGAAATGAACATTAAGAATTGAATTTGTCTGAATAAATTTTTATAGCACCAGCTATGAGAAACCAGTTTCGTATTACCCACTGCTCCACGTTATCTCAGTGGTGAAGCAGGAGACAGCACAAGTAGAACTAAAAGATGGAGCTGACCCATCTCTACACTACAGYACATTTATTTTCATAAATGCACACATGTTCTCTGAAAGCATGTTCTATCCTCTTTTTTCCAAAATTGGGAATGTCAAAGTTTTGTCATATGCTATCTCTTGCCTGCCCCAATAAACTCAAAGTGAGCAACAGCAAAAAAAGCCCGAACACAAAACAAACCCAAAAAAACCCACAGAAAAACCCTTATATAATGAAACTCAAACAGAAACGTAATGTTTTAGCCATGGCGCTTGTATACAAGAGGAGAGGCAATGATACAGTACTTTAATCTGTATTGTCTATATAAAACATTTATTTTTAAGCTCTATAATGGTATCATAGAAATACATAGAATATTTTATAGTGTATTTTAGTGTACTCACTGTGAAAATAACACATTTAAGACAGGTATTCTTATGTCCAAATGTTTTAAATATATGCACTTCTTTGCCTTGCAGTATTATATTACTCTGAAAAACAAAATATCAGTTTTTTTATTCTTTGCTCCTTGCCAGTATCTTCTCATTCAGATTTCCCTGGGTCATCTCRGGTGCTCTCTGCTGTGGGATATTTTATAAAAACCACGAAAAGTCCGTAGATTTGTAGATTTCCTATATTTGCTTGCATTCATGTCTAGTGCACATGGCTTGCCGTTCAATCCTCCACGTGCCCTCTTCGTAAGTGCAGTGACATATAGTGCATTCRTCAGTTTTCACCTCCCGTCCCGCTGGAATGACAAGGGTTTCTGCAAAGCAGTTCGGGCCTAAAAGAAGGAGAGAGTTCATTATGGGACACCAACAGCACACTGCAACCCAGCCTGGCTTAGTTCTAGTCCTGGATATGGGAAACCTATTGCAAAGTGAGCAATGCTGGGCACATTAAACATGGGCATCGAGCACAAGGCATWAAAGCAGCAAAGAACATGAGGACCTTGCCCTCTGAAGTGGCTGGATGCTTCTGGTCCTGACTATCCTGCCTTCCACATGGGAAGGTGAAATAAAACCTTCCTGTGCAATGTGCGCTGTGAGAGAGACCTGGGCACACACTGATGGTGCAGATGAAAACAGATTTAAGCTTGAGAAAATGCCAGCTGTTGATAAGCTGTTGCAGCCACTGCAAGCATCTAGAGAGCTGCTTATAAATTTTATTACTTTTTTTCCCACTGGAAACAAGCCTTTTAGTTTCTGTAGTAATCATAATATCAGATTAGTTTATTTTCCCTTTAATGGGAAAATAGTCCTTTTCCAGCAGAGTGGAATAGCTTCAGYCTCTTCTGAATGAAGACACTTCTCATCTACAAAATGAAATATTCCATTTTATATAAGTCAGTAAGTCTACTAACACCCATGTTCATAGTACAYTGAAATGACTTCATTTCCAAGGATSAGGCAGGAGAAAAATGCACCAGCACAACGTTCAGAAGACCAACGTAGTTCTTTCAAAAAGCACAAGGCTGTGAAGGCTGTATTCTATCTATATATCTATATTTCTGTTGAAAAAGAATTATTTTTTTTCTATTTCTGCCTTGAAAACCCACATGCTCTTGCTGAGCAGCATTAACCCCTCCCAACATGTGTGTATTCACTGTCACGCCCTCAGTGGAACTCGGTCCTTCCCTTCAATGAGCACTCAGGCACAGCTGCTCAGGCACAACCTGGCCACTCCACAGCACTTTGGCACCACTGCCATCAGGGCAGGATTTGGAGCAGGGGCCAGGATACATTGATCTGATAGATACTGCTTAAATTCTTAAAAGCTATGGATGCACAAAACACTCATTGACTGYCAGCCTGCTCGCCAGACAAGCAAATACATCCCAGATGGGCTCAGTCTTCCATTGTCAGGCATCTATTCTAAAACCTGTGCCAAAGAGCATGGCTCCTTCTTCTTCTACAGAAATGTAGCCCACCTCCTGGGCTACATATTTGAAAGCACAAACCAAATAGTTCACGAATCAGTTTTAATAGTTGTCTCTTCAAAACAGTTTATGTCTTTGTGCAGACACAATAGCCTGAAAATTATTAGCCAAATTTGCCACAATGAAGGTCTTTCCTCACCGAAGAGTTACCTCTAGAAGAGATTTGCAGAAATTTGCTTCCCCAAGTTGTACCCTTTAMTGCTCTGAATATTTAAGCCCATACTTTGTTTTCATGGAATCACAGACTGCAGAATCATTAAATTGAATCCAACTGTTATTGTTATTATTCAATCCAGTCATTGAATCCAACTGTTAACCCAGAACTACCATATTCACCACTAAACCATGTCCCCAAGTGCCACATCCACATGTGAACACTTTTGAATGCTTCCAGAGATAGTGACTCCACCACCTCCCAGGGCAACCTGTTCCAGTTTTGGAATTGACTGTTGACAGTGATCTCTAACATGCAGCTTCTTTCACAATTTTGGGTGGCTTCTTGCCCGTTTGGATGCAGAATACGTATGAAAATACAGCAAGTAAAATTACCTGATTTTATTATCCTGATTTAATTTGGTATTTCTGAGTTTTCAGTCCTTCCATCTGTCCATGCAAAGTATTACTGGGCTGGACAACACAGGAAGGAGGACTTTGGAGTTGAAGCCATGTTCCCGGGTCCCCACTGCACATTTGGAGGTGCCCCARGTTTCAACCAAGATAAAGCAGAGTTAACAATGCTGTCCTCAGTGGAACTTTGTTTAAAATACTTGAATGTTTATCTATACAATTCTGTGTCATTGAAATACAGTATTTTTCTTGTAACTAATAAAGTTTCATCCCAAGATGAGTTCACCTGCACATTAGGTAAAGACACCTGAATGTTGCACACTGGCCTGTAACATCCCCATGATTTACAAAGCTATATGATATAAGGAGTTAAAATATTAAATGCAGAATATATTTTCTATGGAGAATTTGTACAAAACCTACAAGACCACTTGAAATTTAAACACTATGTAAAAGGCACAGGAGAAACAAAACTGATGTCAATCCCCARTGCAGGATTTATTTCATTCTGGAAAAGTAAATGTTATAGATTATCCTTGGTTATAAAAACCAATGGGGGAATGAAGAAAAAATGGTGCAACACACGTAATATAATTCACTCGGATTCAGAATGTAAATGCCTCTAGGCACAATTAGTAACACCTTAATGTCATGTATGATGAGTACTTTTTACATCAGAAAGTTAATTAATGTAAAGATACACAAGTTAGACCTCAACTGTTAAACTATTTTATGTGGGAGAAAGCCATTGCTTGAGTAAATCTGCAGAAGAGCAATAACCATCTGCCCGAGAAAGGGACTCAACAAAAATAAATGGCAGCAACAAATATTGTTTTATTACCATGGAACTTTTCCTTAGAAAAGTGCCCATTTTCTGGCCCTGCATTTGCACCCATCATTACTGTAACTGCAAATCTTGTATAGTASTTCAGCTGACAATACTCAGCTGGCATCCTTGCCCTCACCTTTTTCTCTGAGATATTGCGTGCGCACAACATTGTGGGTAATGTTACAGAAAAGGTCATCAGTGAAAAGGCTGAACTGACTGGATTACTGCAACATCATGCACATAAATGTCAGACCAATATAGTGTCTAAACATGGGAAAATAATTCCACAACTCTCCTTTTATCATTTCTCCAAATTCTCAGACTGTTAAGAAAATAYGCCTGTGCTTCACCCCAAATCCTCATTCAATTTCGACGCTGTATGAGCTTGCCCTGGCCCTTGCTGTCCTGTGGCTCCATTCCTACCAAGCAGGGGATGCTCACCCCTTTCCTCTTCCTCTGAGGAGCACTCACAGAACACAGGATTACATGACTGATGGGACCCGCCTGCAGTGATGGGGTACACGTGGGATGGCACTGGTGGGACCCTTGGTCCTCCAGCAGCCTTTCCCTGGCCCCTGCCAGTCACAGAACCAYAGAATYGCAGAATATTYCCARTTGGAAGAGACCCACAAGGATAATCAAGTCCAGTTGGAGGCATAGTGATGATGAAGCCACTAGCGATTCTCTGCCTATCTAAAAGGACAGTAGGGAAACTGAGGAACTGAAGATTTTGAATAGACAGTGGGAAGGCCAGGACGCACAGCAGGCATACAAAGGCTGGCTTTGAAAGCTAAAGAGTGCCATTTCCTCAGTGTCCCTTAGAAAAGGAAGGCAAAAGCACGTTTTCTCCACATTCAGAGTGGATGACCTGTTCCAATGGCAAGGCATTTGCTGAAACTACTGCTTTACTTAAAACCAGGCATCTCATATTGATTTAGCAAGATTTTCAAAAGGTAAGCCATTTTTGAGTTTTTTAAATTTGCAAAATTACCTTACTTAGCACATGAAAAGCATTTCCAAGTAAATCAAGGCTGTTTCAACCCCACAGCAGTGCTGGGCTTTCTGAGCTCCTTCTTGGCAGCATCACTACTCTGCCTAAGTCCAGCACCCAGAAGTTGCTCAGTGCAGTGATGGCTGGTTTGCTCTGCAGTACAAACCTCCCGGCCCCATCCCCAGCTGTGTACACTTATATATAGCTCTGAGGCACGCAGTGGCACTGCACTTCTTCACAGCAGATGAAGATCTTGCTGTATCACTCTTAAATCTGGCAGAAAATTCATAATGACATATTGCATCAATTCTGAGTGCAGCCTGAAATCCACCACGACATCGTTTGTTTTCCTAAAGTACACAAGTGGTGCTGTCAGACGCCACTCGAACCATRCCGTGCTGGTATCAGCACAGATTTCTTTCCCAGGGCTAAGACACAGTTGCTGCCATTGCAGCGATGTCTCAAAAGCAAGTTCAGTGCAAATCGTCAGTTCTCACACTGAGCACCAGATTGGCATGCAGCTCTTGGCTTTCCTGCATCTGAAACAGTGAATCGTAGCTTCCATTTTTACTGGGATCTAAAGAACTAGGAWGGCAGATCRGCTGGTTAGTTCACTGAYTGATTATAAAGKGATCYSCACSTYRGAAAMACTTAAAAACAAAAAMAAAAAWTCAAAATATTATTGRGRTGAAYRCTGCTATTKTATTTTTTTWWAATCCTTACAYTGGTCCTGTGGGAAGTTTCCAACTACTTACATTGTATGCTTCAGTGTTGAAAAAGGCAACAATCTAATTAAAATGCAAATTTTGTTATCGCAGAAGAAAACAGCTGATGCCAGTTCTCAGCAGAGAATGCCCAAGCCACTCACCTACAGCAGCACCTGTAACCTTGACAACCTCAGAAGGGCCTCTCTGAAACTCCTCCTCCCCTCCTTCCACAAAACCACAGCTGTGTCATGGAGCTGTTCCTGTTTCCTCTTCCTCCTGCCCTTGCTTTTGTATGGACAAATGTTCCCATCAGTTAAAAAATATGATCCAGCAATTTGGCAAATCACAATTTAATCAACTGTTTTCATCATGTGTTAAACTAAATCATGAACAAAGAAATCTGTTCAACGGCAAGTTAATGTGCTTGCCTGGAGAATAAGTCACAGCAGAATTTTGCCAATTAAAACTACAGTGACAACCTCTTAACACAACATGCTGATGTAAGACTGCTTTGGGCTCTGGTTTGTACTAAACTTCCTCACAGATGCCCCTCTAATAGCTCCTTGCAGCAGTCAAACAGGCCACTTCCAAGGCACTTGACAGCAGTTCCATCTACCCTGACAGTTTTCTGGCATTCATCACCGGCATCATTCATTTGGTATTAGAGCACTTTGTAAAATTACATAACCTCAATATTTAGCTTAYCCCCTTGGTTTTATTTACATCTTTTTCCTCATTTTTCATGGGGACA